AATACTTTTTTTACCGACTGTATATATAATCATTCAAAAATAAAATGAAAGAAGATGAACAAATATCTACAATGGCATTTTTCTTGCTTTTTTTGATGCAAATGTATCAATAACATTTTGGAAATCAAGTTCTGTGGTCAAATCACTTTTAATGGATAAAATGCTTAAGCAAGATAAATTATCTTGTTTAATATTATTACGCAAATTGTTTTTTATGCGTTTCAAAGAAGAAGAAGAACGTTCACTTGTACAATTTGAAATTGGCATAGTTAGCAGAATTTGTAAAGCAGTATCAACATTTGGGAATGTGTGTGTTATATTTTGAGAGGGAACAATTTTTAGTTTTTCTTGGGGTGTCAAAGATTCATCAGATAAAAACTGGAGAAAATGAAGCACTTCACTCTCAAACTCTTTATCTACATCTGCACTGTAAATTTCTTTAAAATGTTCAGCAGACTTTTTAATGTCTCTTGATCTTGACTAGATGTCTGCATCAAAAAACTAAAGCGGTTTTCAATTATTAAATATGCTGATTTTCTTTTTATTAGCTCGCTCATTAATAAGTCACAAATGACATAATGGCACTGTGTTATAAATATCTCTCGGCTAGGTAAATCCACTTCCTTGGATTTCGAATAATCAAGATACCTATTTTTTACAACTTTAATTTTTCGCTTTTCAATAAAGTCACAATTAACTAATTGTGAAGCTTTAGAATCATACGTATCAAAATCATCTCTGAAACATTGAATAAACTTTATAATTGAATCAAATAAAGGTATGATAATGCTTACATTTCCATCTGTTGCTTGCAGCTGGATATTAACTTTATTTAGACGCAGCAGAATAGTGTCCCACAAGACAGCCAGAACTGCTGTTTGTCGTTTATCCATTTTTTTATACAATGATTTTGCATCACACCTTGTTGAACTGGTCTCACCAGGGCCGGCCCTAGACATTTTGGCGCTCCGGGCAAAACCTTAATTTTGCGTGTTTTTTTCTTCTTTTTTTTTAAGTAAATCTTGTGTCAAAAAAATAAAACAAAAAAAATATTAAAAAAAACGTTTTATTAAAAACTTTATCAGATAACAAGATAAGCAATTTAGCACTTAAGGCAAAATAACAAAAATTAAAGTGTAGTAATGCTAACTAAACTAATATCCCATATTATAAATAAACTCTAACTAACCAAAGTAATTAAAATGTCCTTTTTCTAACTTTTCTTTCGGCAAACTCACGAACCAGTGATTTCAAGTCTAATTTGTCACTAATTTGGTGTTCTATAGCTATCATTGCCAATCCATTGAGACGATTTTGCGTCAAAATTTTGTACCAGATCACAACAGAGCATATAAATTTGTGCTGCTTCAAATTATTTAATAATCCGCAAGGCTCGTCTCTGATCATATTATCGATTTCTGAATCTTCATATATGCTGTACAAAGCATCGTGAATTGGACCAATTTGAAACCGCAGAGCTTTTAATGAGTTACTCGACTTTCCCCATCGCGTATCACTCAATGGTTTTAGGGTCTAAGTATCAATATATTTCCGTATTGCCCATCGAAAAGAAGAGGAGAAAAAATTTATATAACTTTTGAACAATATTGAAGAAGTTGGCTGCCTCAAATGAGGATTTTGCCATATCGTTTACAACCAATTTAGCGAATGGCTGCTGCTTGTAACATAAAATGCTCTAGGGTTTATATTTCTGATTCTTGTTTGTACTCCCGATTTTTCTCCTCTCATATTGGAACCATTGTCATACCCTTGATAGCGCATGTTTTCTACTTTAAGCCTATTTTTCTCTAGCTCTTCTAGTAAAACCTCCGACAATTCCTTAGCTGTTGATCTCTCAATGGGTAGAAACCCCAAAAAATGTTCGTTGATATTAACTTGAACTTCAGACTCTGATTCCTGCATGGAGACAAATCTTACCACAAATGTCATCTGTTCTACTTTACTTGCATCGGGAGTACAGTCAAGAATCAGGGAATAATACTTGGCCTTTTCAACTTGCTCATTGATGTGGTGCTTAATGCAATAATTCAATTACATTTTGTTCATTTTCCCTAGATATGTAGCTTTGATTTCTTCTTTATTGCGAACGTGTTCCTCCATTTTTGGATCAAACTCAACCAATAACTGAATTAACTTCAAAAAGTTTCCATTATTGTGTTCATACAGTTTATCGCTTGTTCCTCGAAAAGCTAGAGAGCACTTTGATGCGTAAGAGAATTTCAGACCAGCGATTTATCTCAAAATCAATGAGTCTCTGAGAAACTGCACCTATTTTCAATCTTTGCTTCAAAATTGTTGTTTCCTGTACAGTTGTGTTGTCACGGGCCGAAAAACTTGTCAATTCTTGAAAGGCGGTGGTTGAGTGTTTTGTCATGTTGAATTGAATTCTGCTAGATTTTGCCTTAATGTTTAATTATATTATTTGAATTATGTGCTTAGAAATAAAAATGGTAAATTACGCCTGCCGCCGCTCAATCTTGTCAACTATCATTTTGGCGCCCCTAGATCATTGCGCTCCGGGCGGTCGCCCGGATCGCCCTACCCTGGGGCCGGCCCTGGTCTCACTCGAACTACTTGAAATTTCACACAAAGCTTGCATAATATCCTTCCTGCAATGACTTTGTAGCTTCTGCAGCATCAGCAGACCATCTTGTTATACTAAGGGACTTGACAGTGAGTTTATTTTTTAATTTTTCGGACAAAATAGCCCATCTATGGGTCGATGCTGAGAAGAAATTATAAATACTCTGGATCAGGCCAAAGAAAGAAATAGCCAGTTCACAAGACTCGATAGCTGCTACTCCAACCAAATTTAAAGAGTGAGCAGAGCCTGGAATATATTCAGCTGTAGGAGAAATCTCTTTAATTCGACCTTGAAGGCCTGAGTATTTTCCAGGCATATTGCTGGCATTGTCGTATGACTGGC